GAAAGAAAGAAAGAAAGAAAGAAAGAAAGAAAGAAAGAAAGAAAGAAGAAAGAAAGAAAGAACAGGGAGGATAGTAAAGGGCATAGATACAAGAAGGTATTTAAATTAGGGCCATTCCCACACTTAAGTAGATAATGTGCCAGAATGAACCATGAAGCTTTGTTTTGTCTCCCATGTTTACTGTTCTAATTGTCTTTTATTCTCTGGGTTAGAACATAATACCGATATCAGTTATTCTGATAAAAGCTCAGAGAATGCTATTAATCCAACATAGCATTTTGAAACTGTAACAGGGCAAGAAAGTGCAGCTGTTCCATTGCCTCATATTCTTGCTGAGGGCATTTTATGTTTAACTAGAATTTGATCTCCTTGATGAGAAGTCCTGTGGAAAGTTATCCAACTCTTTTCTAGGAACTGGAATTCAGGATATCCCAGCTTCTATTAAACTGCCTGCTTTTGCAAAACCTCCCCCATTAAACTGCTTATCTTAGCTTCTGTTAAAGTGCTTGCTTGCACAAAATCTCTCTCTGCATGTGCTGAATTAGAGAGCAGAACACTGTTTTTGCCCTTTAAAAACTCTTACTCTAAAACTCAGTACTATGCTTGGGTCCTGAAAACCCGAGTGTTGTCTCAGACAGCTGGAATTGGAGTGATCATCTCTAGTGAGCTCCCTGTAACAAAAATAGGTGTCTTCATATGAACAGGTTGCCTCAGTATAATATTTCTGAACAAATCTGGAAAATACCATTTTGAAACTGAAGAAATAGATTGAAGCTGCCAGGTGTTGTCTACAAATCAAATTGTCCTCAGCAGTACAGAGTCATTTGTTTACCTTTTCCCTATTCTCTCATATTTCTTTCATTATAAAAGAGCTTAACAAAGAAGAAAATAGAGAGTGGGGAAAGAAAGAGAAAAACATGAAAGGGAAATGTACATGGGAAGGAGGCAAGATTCATGCAAAGAAGGATAAAAGGACATAAACAATACTCTCTTTTTACTCATAATTTCAGTTTCCAGGAGAATATTCTTGCTGTCTGCATAAGAAATAGGGAAACAAGAGGGCCAAAGTCATCCATGAGGAGTATGTACAGGCTTGCTCATTCACATTCCACTGGAGAGACTGTTTTAACCATTGCTATGAACACAGGTATTTGCTATCTAAAATCTACAAGGTCACTTGCATTGGACAATGCTACTCAGGAAACATGCTAATGGCTGGTGTTTGTGTTAACTGCAAGGTTGTTAGAGACTCAGGAACTCAGATTCTACCTCATACCTATTGTGTCAGCATGTGCCTTTAACCTGTCCCCAGGTATCACAAATTCACAGAAGGCTGAGATTCCTTAGCCTCCTGTGCAAGGATTTTCTTTTACATATCTATTCCCAGATACTAAATGGTTTCAGAGATATTGTTATCTCCTTAAAACTTAATATTTGTCTCATTGCCCTCATTAAGCTCATGCACCTTTGCCTAAGGCCCATGGTCCATAAACAGGTTATAGAGTGTTATGAAGATCCTTGAAAAGGAACACTAGAACACTAGTCTTGCTTACTTGAAAAATAGCTAATCCCTTTAAGAAAACATCCCTGGTGTACTACTACTAGCTATCTCTGGAAGCTGCTAGGCAGTTAAATTGGGTGGAAAAAAACAGAACTCTACTATTATCAAATAAAACAAAGTGTGCAATGCTAAGTTCAACTTGAAAACAATACAGTTACACAAGTAGGCGTATCAGATTTCTATGGCTCCCACTCTAGTTGCTGTTCATGCCATAAACCTCAGCAATGACTTCATTGGAAAATTCTTATAATGTTAAGGAAAATAAGAAAAGGAAGGAAAAAAAACAGGGCAACATGCAGCTACCAGGCAGTTCTTCTGCTTCTTCATTCTGGTTGAATAACAGAGGGATGGTGCCCTGTCTACCCCAACTCACCACTCACTGCTTTGTCCAATGACCCACCAAATAAAAGGTGAAAGAATTGGTGATAAGAGAAGTTTGCACAATTCATTTGGAATAGTATACTGGGCTATAAATGAATGTTTCACCTGAGTACTAGAATTGAGATTAGTCTGGTGGGTAAGATCTCCTGATGTTCTGTGAGGGATAAAACACAGAACATCCATTGCTGTCTCAAAAGGCTCTGACCTAATTGACTATGGCAGCAAAAATGGAGGTTATGTGACATCAACTAATTAAATTTCTGCTCACCAAGACAGTTTTAGCTAATGTTGTTATTACATGTCTAATGATTCAACAAGAGACATCATACCAAGCTTTTGCTAGAGTAGCATATGCAAAAGGACCAACCAGTCCACTTTAGACAATATCTGTTATTGGGTCATAGCTACCTGAGTTTCATGATCTCCAGTGCGTGCATACTTTCTGTATGTGCATGTTTTTATTTTCTGTCCCGTCACCACATAATAGGTTTGCTGAATGCCATTTTCACCAACATAGTATCTCCTTCAGTGCTGTATTTAACTGAGGAGTAAATTTTACAAATCACTTGATTGACAGGATGAGATTCGCTGATGGCATGTGTTCTCTCTTACCCAAGCAACTATCTGAGTATTGTGGTTGAGTGAAGTCACTTTTTGTGACTCACAAAGGTTGAGTGGCCAGCTCACAAGACACAGAGCACACATTGGACAGTTCCAGCAGCTGTGGCTGGTTTCCCAAGGGGATGCCGGTCTCAAAGGGGCAAGGGAGAAAAGGCTTCTCTCACTGAGATTCTTAATGAATTACTTAACGCCTGTTTCTTGCCTGAAATGTTAGATTCTCCTTCTGGGAAGGTCCTGTTTGTTAAGGGATAATGCTTTTACCTGGAGACAAGACAAGCAGCTGATCTTAGTTTGCATGGCAACAGTCAGGTGGTTTTCTCCACTAGTGTTGTGGGGTATTCACCAGAGAAGACTGTCTGGAGGTAGGTTTAAGCCAATAGAAAGTCTTCATCAGCTGGTCAGAGACTACAGTGGGTGATCAGGATGCCAGTGTAGCACTGAGCCTTTCTCAGGGTTAGCTTTTACGCACAAAAACTTCGGTTAACAAGAACAGCTAGCCAGAAGCCGAACTACAGAAGCTGAAAGCAAGGTTAGTACATCCTGAGACTTTCTCAGAGCCATATGGACTCTAATGGATTACGCCTTTGTTTTAGTTTTGGTGGGTGCTACGTGCTGAGTTTTACAGCCTGAATGGCACTTCTATCATGGAGTCAGTTGTGCTAAGGTCTGGGAGCCTACCAAGTGTGAGACCTGTTACATAAGGACAGGGAAGACTAATCTGGGAATGTACAGAGGAAACGGAGGAGTCTCCTCTCGAGGTACTTAGTCTCAAGCTGAGGGCAATTTAATAAAAATTTAAAAGAAAACAGCCCCAGAGAAGGCAAGCTGTAACTTCAGCAGCTGCCCAGAGGAAGACGATGGAGGAAAGAAGGAAAAACGTCATGTCATTTAAGGAGACATGGAAGTCAGACACGTGGCAGGCAAGCAGCCACATGACAGGGTAGGAGGCTTTAGAGAAGGAGGAAGGAGACTCGAGATGTTGGGGAATCCCAATGTGTTAAGGAGAAGTTACTTCTGAATAATTCAAAAAAGGGGCAAACTGATAAAGTTGCATTGTTGTGGCAGTAAGCTGCTGCACTGCGTGCAGATTCTCATTAAAGGAATAATCACTCCACCTACCTCTTTAGTGTGGTCTAAGGTGAACATGCCTTCCTAAGGGTGGTCTCCTGGCCAGCTGATTAAACCAGCCAGACTAGCATGTTAGTCTCCACCCAGGCCAGAAGTTATGTGATTGACCAGAAGGAGCTATTTTTCTACTCTAACAATATAGCACATAACAGATGATAAAATGCACAACATTAGACACGTGGGCCATATCACATAAACATAATTTTCACAGTCCTCTAATGGCTGTAGACTTTGTGTTAGGCAGCGCAACATATGTGTTTCATGTTTACTTTCTTTAATATCCTAAACACCAGATATTGGTCTTATCATTTTCTTGTTTGTTTTGCTTTACAGAGAAAAATGTGGAGACTTGGAGAGGTTGTGTAAGGTATGTGAAGTCAATTATTTAGTAAAGAGCAAGGATTTGCACAAAGAGTTCTACTTCAAAATTTGATAAACAAGACCAAAAAGAAAAAAAAAAAAACTATCTACAGTAAAATGCCAACACAAAGCCAGCACTTACACTTTTTACTTTGAAACTGAAGATATAAGGCCAGTAATTGGCTCCACACGTGGACCAGCTTGTTGCTGAGTCTGTTGCACGGTTGTCTTCTGACTTCTGTGTATGCTCCCTACCCACAAATAATAAAGAAGAGATGAGCTGAGGCAACAATAATTTTAAAATTGAAGACATAAAACAGAAATATGAAGCAAGCACCACACTACAGAAATTTGTAAAAGAAAATAAAGACAAGAGAGATAGAACACTTAGATTTATGAAAGTAGCAGCATCAATCTAGAATTTGCCTTACAAACAT